GGAATTTCGTGTTCACAAAGACAGACTCGAAGGTGCGGGCATGCTTATTGTCCCATAGTGGAACGGGTGAACGTGATCGCAGAGACCCCTCCGCTAGCCACTTATTTAAGGGTTAGGGAATTATCCCCCGTCATACGTCTGCCTCCCCCGTAATGATAGTTATCATTAGTCCTATAGTTGACTTCAGGCTTCACAGAGGGGAAGGAAAATCAAAGTGATATAAATTCGAGAGGGGGAACAGAAGAGTGATTCACAGATACAAAAGGGACAGACACAAAGGCAGAGAAAAGGTAGGATGATTACTGTGGAAGCGGTCGAAAATAACATGTAGGGGGTCATAGTAGTTGGAAACCGGAAGTCAACTGCCGGTTAAGAGAATTTTTGCCGTATAAGCATACGTTACCCAGGATATACCACGTGGAGGTAAGTCTATCGCACACTTCCCGCCGCCTGTTAATATAAGACTAGGAAAATTTAGAGGCCTAGTTATCTTAGCATTATTAGAAAAGGGACATGCAAATGGAACAAATGAATATGAAATTATGTTATAATCTGCTCTCGTTCGTAGGACAACGTGGATGACTCTTAGATTTCTTGGGGAATTGCACTGGACCCCACTAAAACCCCACAAAGTCGTGTGACCAAATAGTTCAAGCCACGGCATAAAACAGAGAGCGAGTTTAATTTTTTGTAGCGAAAGTTTGATGTACTTCATTCCCCATTTACAGCCGTAATGAAAGTAAATAAGGATTCATACACGAATCGTTTTCCTATAGTGATGGGTATATTTAGGGAAAAAAGATGTGGTGAGTATGAGTATTGAGTAGTAGGGATTTCGGAAGTAGCAACCGACCACGGTTGCTTTCTAGGCTGCCAGATTAAAATAACTATTGATTTTGAATAAGAAGAGCAACGTAGGGGTTTGGGGTTTAAAGTAAAATTGCATCAAATGAATCGAAATCACGAAGTAATACTAATAGGGGTGTGAAAAATAGGAAAGTCAGAATTGGGCCAAATTTTATATATGGTTCAAAAGCAAGACATAAATATATTTAATTCTTAAATAAAATTACAAAATACAAAATAATTGAAAAAGCAAAGGTGATGCTATGAATCTACTATAATTATAATTTGGCAGTGGCAGAAACATTAAATTATGCCAGATTGTGACAACAATATGGAAAGAAAGAAGAAAATATTAAAAATTTTAATTTTTGGTTGTATTTTGTTGATATGAGCAGTTTTTGAATCAAATTCTCAGAAGCAACACTTCACCTTTGATTGTTTTACAATGGAGATATTATCAATTTTCACATAAAAATTAAAGGCATGTTTTTCCAATAAATAATGTGTAAATAATTCTTGCTGTTCATTAGTTTATAATAGAGATTTTTAAAAATTCTCTTATGACTCGCATTTACAGCATTTGAATACGCCATTGACTCCGTGCCTAGTGTAAGGGACTAAGTTCAAGGAAATCTGGTTCGTCAAGCTCGTAAGTTCTCACTTCCTCATTTTCCACTTGTGTATCTACTTTAATCTCATTAATCTAACAATCTCGACTTTGTTCCTGAATTTTTTTAAAACTGCATATTTTTTATTTTATCTATAACTATACTCTTCGTAGATATATATTTAATAAATGAAAGATTAGTACTTTTGCTATTAAATTATTGTGCTGTTTTAGATTTAATCAACTGAATGGATTGCAACGATAAATCTATTAAATGCTGTAATTTTTTTCTTTTTTCAGTACTCTTTGTATTACTCTAATTTAATTTTCTTTCTCCTATTTCAGACGGAGAAATGTCTTTACAAGCGACTGACAGCAAACCCCAACGCTGTATTTCCTCTATTGAATCATCTGGGGGGTCGGGCGAGAAAGTAGCCTCTATATCTAGACCACAAATTTCTTCGCATCAGAGCTTTAACTTACCCCCTAAACCAAGTAATTTATGGTTAATTTGTGCATAGTTTGTCACCGACACTATCATGTTTGACGTTTTATTGCGTTATCTTTTTGGTTATGAATTATTTAGCTTTCGTTATAGATCGAGGGTCCGAAATCCGTAAGACCTGGTTGTGTTTGGTGTGATTTTGTTTACTGCCGAGTACATCTTTTTACTGTTTATGGTTGTATTTAGTTTTTTATTCGTATTTTCGTTTAAACCTTTAGCTCATTCGCCACCTCCTGTTCCCACCAGTCCGAACAGTTCTTCAATGTTGTACCCATCGATACCTGATGAATTGTCCTCTTTTCCTAATGGTGCCGCTCCTGCTAAACCTCCACGTTTAGGAAAGGGATCTATAGACAGCTACAATGCTTATGACAGCGTTCGTCTTCTTTAATTTTACATATAAATGCTAATCTGTTCACGAAGCCTGTTTTATGAATCTTTGTTTTCACATCCCTTGAATCTATTCCACTATCTCTACCAATGTTCACTTTAGTCTGTAGTAGAAATGGAAAACTTCTAGTTTTTCCGTCAATGCTTTTTGTACTTCACTTTTACAGTGTACCAGTTTCCATATGATTAGTTAAAATATTCTCACAGTTCAAATGATTCAGTCACAGTGTCGTGCTCCTTACTTTATTGATTTGTTTTTATTATAATCTTTCCTTATTCCATTAGGCTATCTGTTAATGTTTGGTAAATTAGGTATTTTGTACTGTCATCAGACATGATCATTCTCAGTCAACTGGACTTTACAAAGTTTTCAAAGAGTATTATCGAAAAAAATTAAGTAATGGTCTTCCCTCTTTTATTATCAAGTATTTACATAATTACTATATTGGTCCAAAATTGTGAGTCGTTGCTTGTTTTAATTTTAAGCAAATTGCTAATTTTCGTTTAAAGTCCTTAGTACTGTCGAGTTTGGAGGTTGGTAAGATTAGCCTTTATCGTCTTATTCCATCCAATTATTTTGGTCGTGGGCTGTAGAATATTCGCGAAATTGGTTCTCCGCGTTCAAAAGTTCGAATTTATGATGTGCAGTACTTTTTGACCATTTTCTAACCACATCACCTCCTGTATCTTTCGGTAGTTAATTAAAGACTGCGTAATCTCATTGTTTTCCAATTTGTTGCTAATAATACGCTTTCGACCTATGCAATTGTATGCGTGTATACATTCGTGCGCTCGATTAAGTTTCACACAATTTTTACCATGAGCAGAGATTGAAGGCCGCCTCAGGCATTAGAATCATAAGGATTTGCATGGCTGTTATTGCCTTTTTTCAGAATAGAGGTGCCAAGAGAAACAGAGCAAAGTTCTAATTACTTCTACGTGATCCAAAGTTTTTTTGTTGTAATTTTGATCTCCTTCTAGATTGAAATTTAATATTATTTAGTTGTTTGTGGTGTTTTGTAATCGGTCACTAGTACCATCTCGATCGTAACTCCTGTGCAATTACGGGCGTATCTACGCCATTGGCTCGTGAGTCCATGTGCGTAGAACTGGAGCGGCGGGTGTATATTGTCACTCAGTGAATCATAAATCAGTACATGTGGTGCATGTGACATGCAAGCGTGACAAACATGGAAATTAGCAGTTTGATTGGAAATCATGACCTGATTTGGGAATTTGATTGAACTTCTTTTTTTTATTTTGCGGGGCCGGTGTGTAGTGTTTCTTCTAGCAGTTGTTATTCTGCACTTTCTATGAGTCACATTTTAATTGCACACACTGTTAGCTTAATCTCCTAGTGCTTTGTGTGTTCTTTCATTCTCTGCATTGGTGAGAAAATCCAATTCCCCTCCTTCCCTTTATTAATTTGATTGTGTTGATCCTCCTGTTCACTGGACGGGGGGTTGGGTATCGAACTTACAACCTCTAACTTTATGGACTATCAAGGTTATAACATCGTGCGTGCATGCATGCGATGACATGTCCCACACTTCCACGGAGATTAAGAGACAGGCCAACTTAATAAGCCTTTCTTCTACTTTTTTTTCATTTTTAAAGATGTCCAGCATATTACATAATTTTCTTTAAAAAAGTTGATTCTCACGATTTCTCACACAGATAAATGGTGTAGAAGCTTTCCTTGCAATAGTCATCATTCTATTTTGGGCTGTCTGTATGAGCTCTTTTATATAAGGTAAACTTCAGAAAAAAATATGCAAGCTAGGTGTGCCAACTGAATGACTGCCATTTTACTCGTTTACGCTTTGTTTAAATTGGCTTTGGGGTACCTTCATCAGGTTATTTTTTTTATAAATATTGATTTAATCGAACTACAGTTTTGTCTGCTTTGTTTTTCCTGTTTGGGATAGTCTTTACTCAAAGCCTGTAGTAGCATATAAAATTCAAGGCTGGTTCCATACAACCCCATTTTTGATCAATAAACAGAATTTATTGGAATTTTTATCCTGATGAAACTTAGCAAAACCCCAATTTATTCCTGTCACATTATAATACCTCTACTTCCTATCTTCAAAATACGATTTCCTTCCTGATAATCAAATGATCGACTATTTTAAAGTTACGAATTTTTGTTCCATACTGTTATGGAGAAATCAGCCAAAAGTATACAAGGAACAAAACTGGTGTAATTTGATTCTTGGCTTGTTTCAAATATGCTTCAGATGAACTTATCTGATAGCAGAAGCTTCTCATGAGTAAATCAATCCACTGCAGTCAAGAATTTCTAACACCGTTAGTAATTAGGCTATCGGTTATTTAGTAGTATATAGGGGCATGCATAGAACTGATTAATGATTCCCCCATTAATCAATAAATTAAATTAAAGTGGTTATTTTCCTTTTACACAGCTAAAAGTATACGAAATTCCAATTTGCAGCAAATCACTCAGCATTTCCATCTTTTGTGCCTTCTAGGACGACTCAACGAACTGTGAAGTGTTTGCTCCCTACGGATATTTGCCTTCCTCTACCTCACCACCACAGCCCCTCTCTCGACAGTCGTCACAACAGTCTGATGGGAATGTCCAAATGTGTAGCAAGGGTTGGTTTGTGGAGATTGATGATGAAGGTAATAGATGCTTTACTCATCCGGATACTGCGGATCAAGTAAGCACTAGACCTCTCTTTTAATCACACTCCTTGTTGGACTGAGTGTATAAAATAGACTTCTTCTTATGAATATCCTCGTTAGCGCAGAAAGAAGTATATCGTTTATTTGATTACTACCACAAATAAGGTGGATTAAAGGATGTGAGCAGTTGCTCTTGTTCTCAGACTTAGAATCCATAAATCTCTTAGGCAGTATTCAGCTTCTCATTTAGTCTTCCCATTTCATTTGAGCTGGAGGGGAAGTCGTTTTGACTAATTCCAACATCGGATATTACTGTAACATCAAAATCCTCTGATGGAACGATTTTCATTTCACTGATTGAAGAATTTGCAGTAGCTATTCACTTTTTTCTAATAAATTACCGTCGCTTTTCATGATGTGCATTATATACGTCGGAGTTTAAGCACTAAAGGAAATCTCCTATTTTTTGCTGCTCTAATAAAATTATTTCAACTTGTAGTTTTTTGGGGTTAGTTTTCTGATTATATGCCAATTAGCCTTTTTTTATGATTAATTACTCTAATTATGGATAGATTTAGACTAATAGATTCCAATTGATCTAAATCTGTGAATTACTGAAAATCACTGAGACATCACTTCGCCTTCTTCTACTATACCATCAGAAGGTGGTTGTAGTGAAATATTCCCAAAGGGACGTATGTGTATCAGTTTTGGGGCAAATTTCCTCGATCGCAGAAGAGACTGAGTTCAAAAAAAGGCAGATTGATGGCACCAATTACGTAGTTTGTTTTACAGTCGATCTTAGTTGGTACAATTTAGCGAGCTTTGATTACTGGGTGCTATTAGCTTGACGTATTTCAACAGCAGACCTCTCTCTCAGTTCGCTTTTGGTAGTTATCGCTGGATAATTAGGATATATTAAGGGATCTTGGATGATTTCGTTAGTGCACATACACACACAAACTGTGGCTTCATTAATTTTTTGGTTGAGAAAGTGCTACTCGCGTCACGTGAAAAATCTGTATTGGTTTTCACAATGGGCTTTCTCTCTGTGTGTGTGCGTGTGTGTGTGTGTACTCCGGCAAATTTAAAAAGCAATTGCTATGTGATTGTGTTGTGGCTCTTGAAGAATTAACAGCTCCTCTAGCAGCTATGACCCAGTGGTCGCTCTAAGAGGCGCTATGCAAATAGGAATTTATAAGATAGGGAGCGTAATAAAATGAAAGATCATGCGTATCGTTAAGAGAAAATTGGAGAAGTGGACGATGCGAAACATTTATTTATATTTATATCAAATGGCAGGCGTTTTGATAGTTACCATTAGCCTTTTAGTTGACTTCAGGCTTCACAGAGGGGAAGGAACATCAAAGTGAAATAAGTCGAGATTGGGGGGTGAAATAGAAGTGTTTCAAAGATGTAAAAGAGACAGACACAAAGGTAGAAAAATGGTGAGGCGAGTAATGTGGAAGTAGACGAATATGACATACAGTGGGATGATGGTAGTTTGAAGTGAGAAGTCAACTGCCGGTTAATAGACTTTGCCGTATGAGTATCCGTTCCTCACGGTGCACCACGTGGAGGTAAGTCTATCGCACACCCCACAATGCGAAATATTAAAGGGAGTAAAGACAAACGTCTTGTCATAGCATCTCCTGCCTTCTCCTGCGACATCCAAGTTCCTCGTTGGTCTGCATGCAGACAATTGTTTTCTCTACTTTCAAGTCCTCCGTTGCAATGAATTTGGTACCTTATGTAGCACTTATTTTAGAAACCTCAATCCGAGAGAGGGAGAGAGGGGGATAAGAGAGGGATTGTAACTAGAACCCTTTATCCAATTTCTCTACCAAATGCTTAATTTAATCCAATAAGAGCA